AAAAAGAAAAAAAGGTTAAAAAAAAAACCAAGCGTCTATCTCTCTGTGAGATGTAGTATACCATAAGAAAAAGAGCCTAAGCTTAAGAGGCAAACAGACCTCCACATGAATGAATCCTCCTGCTGGCAATCACTAGAAACAGAAGCTCATAAACACTGAGAACATCCAGCAAAGAAATATTTTAAGAAAAACATTTGAATATGTATTTGCAAAGAAGCAAAACACTATCTGATACTGAATAACTGGTAGCTGGTTTTGTTTTTTATTTTTTTGAGACTCAGTCTCCCTCTGTCACTCAGGCTGGAGTGCTGTGGCATGATCTCAGCTCACTGCAACCTCCACCTCCCAGTTCAAGAGATTCAATGGGATCAAGTGATTCTTGTGCCTCAGCCTCCCAAGTACATGGGATTACAGGCACACACCACCATGCCTGGCTAATTTTTGTATTTTTAGTAAAGACAAGGTTTTGCCATATTGGCCAGGCTGGTCTCAAACTCCTGACCTTGGACTCCCAAAGTGCTGGGAGTACAGGTGTGGTAACTATTATTAAACGTGAACAATCTAAACAATGATGTGATCACTCTATTCCAGGAAAATAGAGTAAGCCAAGAGCACTAATAAATGACTTCCATTTTTTACACTGTACTAAAACTGGTAAAATTTCCTACTCTCAAAGATAATAGCTTTCCTAGGAAAAAAAGAAAACAATAAAAACATAAATTTTAAAAACCAAAAATTAAAAAATTATATCTTCTCTAAACCTCATATCATATGAAAAAATTACTTCAAAATAGATTACATTTTTGAAGTAATTCAGTTTTACATTTCAAAATAGTGAAATGTAAAACTAAAAAATTCTATGAAGAAAATATACAACTAAAATTCTTTGTGACACTGACCAGGTATGATGGCTCACACCTGTAATCCCAGCACTTTGGGAGTTTAGGGGTCAAGGCGGGTGGATCATCTGAGGCCAGGAGTTTGAGATCGGCCTGGCCAACATGGTGAAACTCCATCTATACTAAAAATACAAAAATTAGCTGGAAGTGGTGGTATCCCGCCTACTTGGGAGGCTAAGGCACAAGAGTCACTTGAACCTGGGAGGTTGAGGTTGCAGTGAGCCAAGATCGCGCCACTGCACTCTAGCCTGGGTTTCAGAGTGAGACTGCGTCGCAGATTAAAAAAAAAAAAAAGAAAAACTTTGTGATACTGGGTTAAGCAAAACTTAGATATGACACCAAAACACAGTCCATAAAAACAACAAATTTATAAACTAGATTTCATAAAAATTAAGAACTATTAGTCTTACAAACACATCATTAAGAAAATGAAAAAGCGGCCGGGTACTTGAACCCGGGAGGCGGAGGTTGCAATGAGGTGAGATCAGCCCATTGCACTCAAGCCTGGGCAACAGAGTGAAACCCCATCTCAAACAAAAAAAGAGAGAGAGGGAGAGAGAGAGATACCAGCCTGACCAACAAGGAGAAATCCCGTCTCTACTAAAAATACAAAAATTTGCTGGGCGTGGTGGCAGGCGCCTGTAATCCCAGCTGCTCCCGAGGCTAAGGCAGGAAAATCACTTGAACCCGGGAATCGGAAGTTGCAGTGATCTGAGATAGATAGCTCCATTGCACTCCAGCCTGGCGACAAGAGTGAAGCTCCATCTCAAGAAAAAAAATAAAAAAACTTTGTGACACTGGGTTAAGCAAAACTTCTCAGATACAACACCAAATCAGAGTCCATACAAAGAACAAATTGATAAACTAGATTGCATCAAAATTACAAACTATTAATCTTACAAACATATCATTAAGAAACGAAAAAGTTAGCCAGGTGCAGTGGCTCATGGCTGTAATCCCAGCATGCTGGGAGGCTGGGACAAGTGAATCACCTGAGGTTGAGAATTCGAGACTAGCCTGACCAACATGGAGAAAGCTGTCTCTACTAAAAAGACAACATTAGCCGGATGTGGTGGTGCATGTCTGTAATGCCAGCTACTCAAAAGGCTGAGGCAGGAGAATCGCTTGAGCCCGGGAGGCTGTGATCGCGCCACTGCACTCCATCCTGGGCACCAAGAGTGAAACTCTGTCTCAAAAAAAAAAAAAGAAAGAAAAAGAAAAAGCAGCCAGGCGCGGTGGCTCATAGCTATAATCCCAGCACTTTGGGAGGCAGAGGCGGGCATATCACCTGGCCAACACGGTGAAACCCCATCTCTACTAAAAATACAAAAATTAGCCGAGTGTGGTGGCGGGCACCTATAATCCCGACTACTTGGGAGGCTGAGGCAGGAGAATCACTTGAATTTGGGAGGCAGAGATTGCAGTGAGCCAAGACAGTGCCACTGCACTCCAGCCTGGGTGACAGAATAACACTCC